ACATCTACCCTCCACCACTATTACCATCCTCCATTACCACTAATCTACATCGCCACCAACTATCTCAAACATCCATAACCACTATCTACCATCACAATAAACCACCCCTAACCTCCATCACCGCCAACTACCATTAACCATCAAACTACCTATCACCTTCATCACAAACTACATCTAACCTTAAACATCACTATAGCCCTAACCGCCATCACAACAATCTACCTCTAACCTTCATCATCACTACCTCTAACCTACATTACCATCATCACTAACAACTTGTAACCCCCCCATCACCACATCCACCATCGTCACTATAACTACCCCTACCCTCCTGTACCACTATCATCATCAGTAACCACATGCCTCAGTCAACCCCCCCCCCCCCCCCCCCCCCGTTTCTCACCCTCTCTGCCATTTTCTAAACCTATAGCCTCTTCATCCATTTTCCCTTAGGCCATCTCATCTCCATTAGCTCCCATTCCTACCCTCCTCCCCTTTTCTAACTCCTTCCCATTCCCTTCCTTTCCGACCTTTTCATCCTCAATTAGCCCTTTTCTTATCCTCCTCCGCCACTTTCTAACTGACTCCTTACTATTGTCTACCCTATTTGCTCCTATCTATCTCATTAGCATCCATTTCCTACTCTCCTCGCCTCGACCCATTAACCTCCCTTTCCCACAACCCTCCTTCGCTCTGAACCCAATTAGCATATTTCCTTCTTGTGGTATTGTATTTGTTGTATATGCCGGAGAGCGAATATTACAAGGAAAATTGCATCGGAATATCATACAGAATGTTGGACTTTCACTTCCGTCCCGACCATTACCATCTTCATTGTCACGGGATCACCATTATCGCAATTATAATTGTAATCATAATCATCCCATTTATTATCACAATCCCATCCATCTCTAACCACAATATCAGAGCTTACACATACACCAAAAAGCTTTACTTCCTCCACCTTGAACAATCACCCTTCCCTGGTGATCGGGATTCTGTTGCTTCCACGACCCTCAGGATAGATGAATCCCTCTTCTAGCCCAGCGATAAGGGTCAGACTAAGACTGTTCTATCCTTCAGAGAGAAGTCCTATGGTCCTGATGAGCTGCAGAGGTCTTATGGGCTGCAAATCAATATTTTTTCCATTTTGCAGGACTAAAGTTGGTGCATGATAGGCTATCAGAGACCTTATATATGCTAAATACATCATTTTTGCTATTCTGCTAATTTTGCTAATATTAACACCATATTTAGGGTTGTACCTCGCTACAGGCTCTGAGACTCAAGGCTCTCAGAACTGTAGTGGGATACAGCCCTTAGTTCCGTGTTAATATTAGAATAGCAAAACTTATGTACTTAGCATGTATATGGTCTCTGATAGACTATAATGCACCAGCTTTAGTCCTGCAAAATGACAAAAGTATTGATAGTGTAGACAAATGCAAAATGATGCACTCATAATTATACTTGGCTGTCCTATAACTACCAAAGATCTCCATATGCGGAAAGAATTAAATATACCTAGCATTCAAGATAGAATATTTAAAATCAATCTTATGATGGGACTAAAGCTTCTGCGTGATAACAAAAGCAACATTGTCAGTTGAACTGTTAGAACACATACGTAATGGAACCAGCGAGTCTAAATGGATTCAAAGAACAGCCACTCATATTAAAATGATGGGACTGCACGATGTATATACAGATGAAAGAGTACAGCACTTCCTTCTACCCTGGCAGATAGTACCTTTTGACGTCCTGACCCCTGCATACCCCATCAAGAAACTAATCACAAACAACCCTCATGTTCAACTTGCTGCTAAATTAAGCACCACAGAAACATTCACAATATACAAATCAAAAACAACATAGCACAGACCATATATACTGACGGATTACTCAATACTGCTACATAGAGAGCAGGAAGTGCTATTATTGCTCATCAATCCGATGGCAGCACAATTCAAAGAATTTTAAGAATTAGCAGCTGGACATGCACAATGCAAGCTAAATTGGTAGCAATACTGGTAGCACTCGAAATTATTGACAACACTGAAGTAGACAGCTTAATTATTTCCGACTCCCTTTCCTCACTACTAGCAATACATAGTTCGCAATCAAATAATAATGTGCTTGTTTCCGAAGCCAGACATAGATATATAAGCATACTTAACAAGTGGGTGAATATCAAAATGTTGTGGATTCCTTCCACATTGGGCTGCAGGATCATGAAAAAGTTGACGCTCTTGCTAAGGTTGCAGTAAATAAAGAGAGTGTTGAACGGAATCGTGAGTTATCAAATAGATCCCTTAAAAGTGTCATTAGGCGAGAACTCTTGGATGGATTTGAAGAAAGCAGAACAGTACAAACTAGAACTAGCAGGTCCATTGTTTATCACAATGAAATGTGTCAAGTAAAACATGTGTATGGGGCAAGTAACAAAGTCAACAGACTAACAGACATTGTCACAGCTAGTATAAAACTTGGCTACAGGTATCTCTGGCAGTTCGGCTTGTATAGGGATCTAGATGAAGTGTGTGGACAAAAACAGGGACACACACTCGAACACTATATCTTGAACTGTAGTAAAATTGAGCCATTTAGAGATAAATTTAAACTCACGTTGTATGATATGGCAACCTATCTTATTACTAAGGATAAAATACCTAAAATCCTTGCACTGTATCCATATTTCGCTCTCAGTAGATAAACGACATAAGAGATTAAGAAACAAGTAGTGTATTGTGAAGATTGATATTAACAAACAGCAGCTCATCTATGACTGTAATAACTCCATTGCTCAAACAATTATGTATTAGCGATAAGATTTACCATTAATGTATAATGACTTACTGTAAATATATTGCTCTTGAAATAGAACATTCTCTGTAACTAGCTGACATCGTAATTATAAGGTGTGAAGGATACATGTAATTATCGCCGTTGAGGTCTGATAAAGACCTTTTGTGCCCTCTGTAATGATTTTTGCGCTACCGCTCACAGGATGAGTATGGAGTGCACAATAAACTAGCCGCCTGTGGGGGCAACAATCATTGCGTTGAAGAATGGCTAGGCTAGTTTTAGAAATAGCATAAAAGAACATAGCATATACCAGGGAGGGTCTGACGTTTTCTTATGTGATCTAAAGTCTACTAAAAATGAATACAAATATACTACACTGTATGAGGTAATTATAGAAATGTAAGAGAACTAATGAAAATACGAAAAATAAAATCAGCTGGAGCTAACGCAGTAGACGTCTCGTTCCCTTTGACTCGCAAATTCTACTAGATTTCTGCTGCACGCTAGCAGACTGACCCTTCCAAAACGCTCTATGTACATACCAGCTTCTGAGTTACTGTGATGGATTCAACGCCATTAAATGTAACTCCAGTCCAATGTACAATCGTGTAGGACATTATTCTTCCAGGATAAACTGTATGAAGAGTGAGTGGCAACAGGCCCTGGTTTTTTATACCAGCCTTACTGAAATAAACAACTGTGTAATTCTCTTCCATCGACAAGTTATTTTGTTATAGGCTATGTATAATATATAAGTACATACTGCTATGAAAGAATTATACATGAGTAAATAAAATTACAGGTATGGCAAACACGTAAAGGAGATAATCGTTGGAATTACGGCAACACCGAGAAGCAGCTACTCTCCACATTTATAACGGATTTTGCTAAGTAAACATAAATTGCTTGCCAAAGCTGTCAAAACAGGCTTCCGTGCTAATGTGCACTTTACATGTACTACTGAGGGGATGTTTTGGTACTTAGCAAGACGTAAGATGATTGACAATTTATACGCTATTATCCAGAATGGTCATGGAAGGGCGGTGTATCGTCGTAAACTTCAGCTGACAACCACAGTTTAACAGGATAAATCTTACACAACTTTATACCACAAAAATATTCCACTCTATTATGTAATCCAGCCTAGTTAGTGGCAGTTATCAAGTCCTCCCTGTACCTTCTGTCCTCCAGTGTAAATCCAATTATCTTTGTCCTTTTCCTCGTAGATTTGTCCAATCAGTTCACGGACGAGCCTTGAATGTATTTTTGGACTTTTTTTTCTAGTTTTATTTTGTTTCAGGTGTGGGCTCTATGCTGGGGTTGCATACTCAAGAGTGGTCTCACATACGTTATTCACAGTGCTTAGAACATTGTTGTTGTTGAAAATTATCACGACGTTGGCCACTTCGGTAAACGTTATCGACACTATTCTGCTAATGTGTTTCTCTGGCTTTAAATTTGGGTCAATAATAATAAAACGTGTGTATTTTCAGGTCTTATTATCTTACCAACGAAACAGCAGCATAAAAGTGAGTACTCATACAACTGAATCACATCTAAGCAAGCCATAAGATAACATAAAAATAATAACGAGGGGGGTTAAGATGCGGAGCGAGATGAGGCCCGCAGGTACTTGAGACTCCCGCATGCGGCCATGAAATATTTCCGCAGTGCACCGCAACTTGGAACTCTCTCTCTCTCTCCCACTGTCCCGTTGACGGCCTCGGCATTTACTTGTGATTTGTTCTCGTCATCGTCCTGCGTTACCCCGAGAGACAGAGAGGCTTCCCTCGCAGTAGATCATCACACCCGGGCACCGAAGTACAATTGCCGGTATCAATTGCGTCTGCGTTATGGAAACCAATGGACGAAATACAAGGAATCTGAGCAATGCAGAAGGAAGTAGGTTATCGACGCCGCAGAGTATGATAAGTCTCCCCCTCCCTCTCTCTCTCTCTCTACCAATCGTCCTCCGCCAACACACTACCTCTACTTCACCTCCTCTCTCTAATCCAAAACTCGCATAAACATCATTTCGTTGCTAACTTGCCAATACAAGATATTTACGATATTCGTGAGGTAAACCACTCAAGGGCTTCTCTCTCCAGGACAGGTGTGTTGGCTTCACGAAAGAATAGGCAACGTCCAAGCTCATAAATTAATACAAATATCGACTCCTGGAGCAGCGGGAGTCATTCAGCGCTCAGTCACCGTCGGGTGCGGACGTCGCTCGGGCTCTGCTTGTCCCCCACTACGTGTGCTTTCTTAAATGTTAAAAACTCTCAAACTTGTGGTTACCTTTTTTTTTAAGTAACAGAAAGGCTAATATATTATAATTTCTTGACAATCTGTGCGCTAATTTTTCCGTATATGTATCAGCAAGCAGCGACTATTAGTGCCAGAGTGAAATAGCTTTGTATCCGTTTGCTGAATGTGCTACATTATACACTACACGGCCCCATTTAAGCGATCGTTCCTGGACCAGTGTGTGTGTGTGGAAGGCCGGTGTATGTGCGTGCTGCCGCTATGTTTATAGAGTTATAGAGCTGGTGGCCGGTATATCCTGTGCTATCCGGTCAACAACAACGGCGTTGGCAACCGTTGCTCTTTAGTGCCACCCCCCCCCACCGGCCGCTGCTGGCACCTGAGTGCCACCAGCGTACAGAGTGGCACTTTGTACTGGGCCATCAGCTCAGTACAAAGGTTGTGTAGGTGTGCCAGAGGCTACGAGCACTTATGAATAACAGGTTTCACTGATTAAAAATATGTTCCACGACGAATAACATTTCACTGATGTTTCACCTGTTCTTCTAATGAATAACAGATTTCAATAGTGAATTGAATAATCCACTAATGAAAATTGCGTTTCATTGATGACTAACATGATCCATTGATGAATAACATGTTCCGCTGATGAATCACATGTTCCACTGATGAATAACATACTCCAATGTTGAATATGTTCTACTGATGGATAACATGTTCCACTGATGAAAACAATGTTCCATTGATGAATTGAAAGATCCATAATGCATTGAAGAGCTTTTTTTTTGAACTTTCACATATAACTGATAAAATAATTCTCATAAACGAGTAACGAAACAAAATTAATTTAGTGGTGTCAATTACGACAGATCTCAAATCTGCCAATTAAAACCACAATGATCAACGCACAATTATTCGTATGGTAAAAAAAAGAGAGTAATATTGCCATAATACCGATTCACGACGATGGTATTTGGCAAACGAGAGGTGATGGCAAGAAATGGTTCCCTGTACGGTATTGAAAGGGAGATGACCGTGGATTTATACGAAACGGGGTTATCAGCGGCGGGGCAAAATGTTGTTTGTCTACTACCTGAATGAAACACTTAGGGTTAAAAGTAAGCATTGATATGAACATTTGTTTGGAGTACAATGCGACTTGTTCTTCCGGTATGAGAGAGTGGAGGTACCATGGCTGTTTGAAAGGGTACAACACACCCGTGTGAGTGGGGGTGTTCTACGCTCGTATAAAGGCTACTGGTAGCTTAATAAAAAGGGGTACCACGCCCGTGTAAGGGATATCACTACCTTGTGAGGGGGAGTACCACGCACATGTGGACGCGGTACACGCTTGGAAGAGAAGTACCTTGGAGGTTACACGTTGTGCGGGCCGGGACAGCTCCCCCAGCGACCCCGCGTACTATGGGAAGATGCGGTCGTAGAGCTGCCAACACATCAGGCTTTAATGCAAGTTCTCAGTGACATCTCCAGCCTCTTCAAGATGGGCATCTGTCTCGATACAGGTAGGTGGTGTAGTCGTTATCTTGCTCACTTGAGGCTTTTTAGGCGTGGTTTGGCTCAAGTGAGATAGTCTAGTTATATGGCTCAAGTTAGGGGGGTCTAGTTGTATGACTCAAGTAAGGTGGTGTAGTTGTATGACTCGAGTAAGGGGTCTAGTTGTATGACTCAAGTAAGGTGGTGTAGTTGTATGACTCGAGTAAGGTGGTCTAGTTGTATGACTCAAGTATAGGGATCTAGTTGTATAACTCAAGTAAGATGGTCTAGTTGTATTACTCAAGTAAGATGGTCTAGTTGTATTACTCAAGTAAAGGGGGTCTAGTTGTATGACTCACGCCGGATATTTTAGCCGAGGTCTGACCCGAGTTCGATACTCTTGCTGTGTATTGATTCAGTTAATGAGAAGTGCTGCTCCCTAGCTGAGGTAAGGTGGGGGGGGGGAGGCTTGGTTTGTTGTGCAGAATACGAACGTTCTCCCCACAGCGTCTGTGGATGGAATGTACTCAATATGTAATATGGACTGTTGTACTGACCCCCCCACCCCTAAAATATATATATTTTAAATATACAAAATATTACAAAAAATTATCCACCCCCCCCCCCTCCGAAAAAAGTGTACATTTTGGACTACTGAAACCTCGCCGGATTTTTTAAGCCTTTATTTGTCAATGGGCTTAACAAAAAACCTGAGATTAACCATAAACCAAAGAAACCCAATTTAAGTCTAAATAAGCACTCATATGCCTAACATGAGCAATCTTAGGCCTAATTTAGTACATATATTTAGTATAATAAATTTATGAAAAGTTGAACGAGGCTTTAGCCTTCTTTCACAAACCTTCTACAAAACAAATTGTACAAAACTCGATTTTTTTGCGATACAATCCTTTATCTTTTGTATATATCTTCCTCAGTAGGTTCAGATATTATATTTTTGATAGTATAGGCTGTCTTTCTTTTTTTTTTTACTCCAACAGCTCATATTGTGTATAATGCAGTTTGTGTGTAGCTGCTGGCAGTGTCTTTATTGAGGGTGGGATGGGTTTAAGAGACGGCTCTCGACAATAGTTCTTAACGACCATATTGTGACGAGCTCAGGCTTGATGTGGGAGCAACCAATGAGGCTTGACGTGGGCGGTACCGGCGAGACTTGACGTGGGCGGTATCGGCGAGGCTTGACGTGGGCGGTACCGGCGGGGCTTGACGTGGGTGGTACCGGCGAGGCTTGACGTGGGAGGTACTGGCGAGGCTTGACGTGGGAGGTACCGGCGAGGCTTGACGTGGGCGGTACCGGCGAGGCTTGACGTGGGCGGTACCGGCGAGGCTTGACGTGGGCGGTACCGGCGAGGCTTCATACAGGTGGAACCGGTTGTTGATGGAAGTTTTCTTGTGACCAATTCTACTTTTAATTTTAGCGATAAATATATAGGTATTGATTATGGCTCATATGTTAGGACTGAAAGCGTGGGCAGAGAGGTGGAGGGAGAGGTTAATTAGAGCAGGGAATGAGAGAGTGGCGGAGTCGTGGGTGTATTTGCCACAACGTACAAAATACAAAGTGCTTATAACCTCACCAGAGACGTACGAACGCAAGCAACCAAGCATATATATATATATATATATATATATATATATATATATATATATATATATATATATATATATATATATATATCATTAAGCTTGATTCAGTTATATTTCTATACATAAACAATCTGTTGAAAGCTAGAATCTTTGCATTAGACAAGTCAACACGATGATTAAAATCACAATGCTTGACCACTGCCTTAACCTCAAACTGTATTGCTGTGCGGTCAGTATACAATATACTGTATAAAGTATACATTGGCCAAAGTATACTTTATCAGACTTCACAAGGTATCTGATGCGCAATTCCTGTAGTTAAGTCCTTCGAATTTTTTATAAGCATATTTCTTGTTGTGCTCACATTTTGAAAACTAGATTTATATTAAAATCCTTAAAGGTGCGGGAAATTTGTGCCACGTTTTCCACATCCGGGAGCACAAACATATATTTTAAAGTGATTCACTCTCTGAGTAGAATTATCCAAATTATTTCTTATCCTGCTTAAAAACTATATCTACAACAGATTTAACAAAGAGACAATCTCAAAGTTTTTTACATTTCTTCTATAAATTCAGAACTACAGACACGCAAAGCCCTTAGAAACATTGAACAAAATTAATGACTATTTCAACTTAATGTGATGGTTTGAATACAAATTTATATATGAGCAAACGTTACATAAATACGGTTTCTTATAAGCACTGTACGTAAAATTTTTATTTTGTCTATGAATCAAAGTATTCAAAACCGACTGGGTTCCATTGTTTTGTCTTTCAACTGAAAATTTAATGTAAGGAACCAAATCACTGAGGTCTTGGGAAGGCAGCCAAAAGCATAATACATCATCCCCCATATCTGTAACATTTGGTATTAGCTGAACAAACTCTTAGTTTAAATATATAAGTTGGTAGAAAAAAGGAATTATAAATATATATATTAGTTGCTAGAAATAAGGAATAAGGAAATAAGTACTAGGAATAAGGGGTATCCCATTATCATACCAAGCATCTGGGCATTTAATTTACCATTAACACAAAAATATTTTCTTTAACACATAATTTTGCCATTCTAATAATTTTGTGTAACAGTTCCCACCGAATTAACAATCGGTCTCTCAGGTTGTCGGCTGTGAGAGTTGATCTGACCATATACTACCACACATCTCTGGTGGACCCCATCTAGAGCTCACCTTCAAAACGACATATCTTGTTTGGAGACATTTCAACACAGCGACAAAAATCATCTCGGAACAAAATCTCTCCTCTACTACCAGGAAAGTTTCAAGGACACAGGACTAACAACACTACAATCTAAATATGAAGGAACTGATGTTATTGAGACCTTTAAAATACCGAACAAGTCGGAGAATATTAATCCAGACCACTTCTTTAAAAGGTCAAATGAAACACATACAAGACGTAACAGTTTCAAGCTCAACAAGCCTCAGTGTAGGATAGAAAACAGAAGATGTTTTTTTTTTCGCCCATCCATATCTATAAGAGAGAATGTGTGAGGTTTGAGGCGAGACTCTTGGAATCTCATTAAACTTTTAGAGGATTAATCGTTATTTTATCGAGTGTTATAGAGGGTAGGGATTATCCCAGTGCCCCCTAAAGGGAGGGTATGGCTCCAGTGCCCTTAAAGTTCATAGAATTCAGCATTAATTTAAATTATGGTAAATTAAAATATTGATTTTCAAAACACATGTGTGGATGATAGATTTGTATTCTGCACGCAACGTTTTGGTTAAAATGACAAGGAAAAGGGGCTAGGAGAGGTGGGGGAAAGGACGAATGTGAACAGGGAGGGAGAGAGGAGATAACGAAGGTGTGCGAAGGCTTGGAGGGAGGAGACTGAGGAAGGGCGTGTTTGGGACTGGGAAGGTGAACGTAGAAGGGCAGTGTATTCAGGGAGGGAGGAGATGGGGGAGAAGGGCAGGAGATGGGGGAGAAGGGCAGGAGATGAGTAGAGGGGCATGTGTGATCAGGGAGGGAGGAGAATTAATTAAAATATTAAATTAATATTAATAAAATATTAAAAATACTGAATAGATTATAATCTTAAAAAAAAAAATATTTGTTTTTGCACGGAGGTTTCGATGTATTTTGTGAGTTTTGGCTGATCTGAACCAGGAACAGTTTCCTATTCTGATCCATGAATAGTTTCCGGGATCTGAACTAACAGCAAGTTTCGGTAGGCTATTTGAAGCAAGAAGTACACTAAAATAACGAAAATGGCCATTAAAGCCACTCTCGCCCAGTGTTTCATAAAAAAACAACTCATAAGGAAGAAGATAGTGAAGATTAGACTCAATATGGCGCAAAAAGTGAAAAGTTTTTATTTAAAGGATGCACCCCAGTAAGAGCAAGGTTACCAGTTCTGTAATAATTGACAAAAATAAAAAAAGTGTTTAAAAAATATTTACCCATTGTTCAAAATGTATCTCAAAGCCCTACTTGAACATTATGAAGTTCAAGCCCTGACTTCTACCTCGTCAGGGCGTGAAAGTTCATTCCGCCAAATGGGTGCAGATTGAAGACAGTCCATGTTTCATTTACTATGAGATAGCTAGCCTAGGATTTTAATTACAAATAAGACAACCTAATATTTTATATAGAAATTAGACAACCCAGTATTTTCCTTAGATATATATATTTTATTTAGAAATGAGAAAGCTTAGCGGTCCATTTAGAATGAGAAAGACTAAATAGCAAAGCCTAAAAATATTTGCCAATTTATTCACTCTCCTCCGCGCTAATTTGTGTCTCTGGCAGATGCAGGGAGACTCTGTATATATATATGAATTACCCTAAATGATAACTAACTAGATAAATAATAAATAACGTCAGTGCTATTACTGATATTATCTCGAAAAGAATTACTTCAGGGGTCTTGACGTTATTTTATTTTTGCAATTATTGTTGTTAGATTGTTTTGTTTAAACATTTAGAGAGAGAGAGAGGAATTGCCTTACTCATGAACATCACTCCATCAGCGATCATTCTTTCCTACCTTTACATGCTCAACAGGTTGATACATGGAAGATCAGGTCAACTGATTTCATGAAGGCTCTGGGATACAGTTGGGTACTGGCTCATCCCGTTCCCTATATGATTGATACTTAGATTTAAATAAAATTTATTCGTAATGATAAATAAAAATAATCTCATGAAATAAATGAGTCTCCAGGGTCAGATGAGTCTCATCTCAAACCTCTGATGAGCTGAGGTAGGATAACAGCTGTTGCTTGTAGCTTCATTAGGTACCTGTTTGTTATATGATAATCACTTAGAATCAAATATTAATCCCACGAAATAATTGAGTTTCCAGGCACAGGCTTCAGATGAGCTGAGGTAGAATAAGAGCTCTTGCTTGCAGTTTCACTAGGTACACGTCAATTGACAGCCCTAATGATCCC